ACAGCATTGGAAGTGGAAAAAGAATTTTAAAAAAATACTGAGAAATTGAGAAGATATCTAATAAGCGTATAATACTGTATTAATTGGCAGGTAAAATGTAAAGTTTCCAAGCCCGTATATCCAGTAGGCGGGGTGTTACGTAGAGTGTGTATAACGCACCCAACCAAATTTGATAAGGTCCACATTTCCAAGACAGTCGAGTATGTACTGAATATAAATTTGTGATTTTCTATCATTTAAAAATATAATCTTAAGTTTTTATATTTTAACAAGTAGGCCTAATCTTGTCAGTCTGTCGTGATTCGGAAAAACGAATTTTTCGAAGTGAAGGTTGAACCTGGTTCAACTTTTTCCGATTGCGTTGCAGACGCAGACGAATCAGTGCATTGCTAGCTGCCCTGCGCAATCGGGAAGGCACCCCGATTCGTCTGTGAACTAACAAATGTCACGACTGTCGCCGATAGGGTGAGCGATTCTATGGAAACCGAGCTAAAACTCTAGATCTGCGCCTGAGAGGTCCCTATTCTCAAAATTTTCTATTCCCTCAGCCCCAACCATGGTGGGGGCAGTGAGGTGGACCCTCACGCACCCCCTACCGCCAAATCCAACATCCTCCCCAGCAACAAGGTCCAAGCCATACTATGGTGAAAGCTACTGACCCGCTACCCCTATCCTACCCCTATGATTTAAGTTAACCACATCTTCCATGGAACATGGATGGTGAATTCTTAGTACCTTCCGGGAATGCTGGCAACCTGTAAAGCCGCCCCCACTCAAAGAGCAGTCACAAGATTTAAAGTTTGTGGGAACTAGAGTTCAAGTCACCTTAGCCTGACCATGGTTGGGGCTAAGGTGGAAATTTTGAAAATATAGTGCCGCGAATAGCAGTTGGCAACCTGGAAAGGAGCTACATTACCCCTATTCGAACCCAATGCGGGCAGATACAAAATTTAAAGTTAGTTGGAAGTGGACTAGATACCATACCACCCATGGTTTGAAAGATTAAGGCTCCCCTGCCGGGAAATAGCATAGTCCTATTTGAATGGCCTTCACTTTAGGAGCTTAAATTTTAAAAACGCATCCTTCGAAAAAAGTTTTTTTTTTTCTCAAATAAACGCACCATTTTGATTTATATTTTTATATTATTATTTTTATTTTTAAGTTCATTTGATAATTTCTCAGTTTTAGTTATTTTAAAGTTTGTATTAATTTTGTTTAATTGGTATTAAGTGTACAGTATTTAAGTGACTCCCTGTCTTGTTTTCAAGTTGAGCGCACCACTAATGAG